GTGAGCCAGGTTATCTACTGTACTCTGTGAGCCAGGTTATCTACTGTACTCTGTGAGCCAGGTTATCTATTGTAATCTGTGAGCCAGGTTATCTACTGTACTCTGTGAGCCAGGTTATCTATTGTAATCTGTGAGCCAGGTTATCTATTGTAATCTGTGAGCCAGGTTATCTACTGTACTCTGTGAGCCAGGTTATCTAATGCAATCTGTGAGCCAGGTTATCTACTGTAATCTGTGAGCCATGTTAGCTACTGTAATCTGTGAGCCAGGTTATCTAATGCAATCTGTGAGCCAGGTTATCTACTGTAATCTGTGAGCCATGTTAGCTACTGTAATCTGTGAGCCAGGTTATCTACTGTAATCTGTGAGCCAGGTTATCTAATGCAATCTGTGAGCCAGGTTATCTACTGTAATCTGTGAGCCAGGTTATCTACTGTAATCTGTGAGCCAGGTTATCTACTGTAATCTGTGAGCCAGGTTATCTACTGTAATCTGTGAGCCAGGTTATCTACTGTACTCTGTGAGCCAGGTTATCTACTGTAATCTGTGAGCCAGGTTATCTACTGTAATCTGTGAGCCAGGTTATCTACTGTACTCTGTGAGCCAGGTTATCTACTGTAATCTGTGAGCCAGGTTATCTACTGTAATCTGTGAGCCATGTTAGCTACTGTAATCTGTGAGCCAGGTTATCTATTGTAATCTGTGAGCCAGGTTAGCTACTGTAATTTGTGAGCCAGGTTAGCTACTGTAATCTGTGAGCCATGTTAGCTACTGTAATCTGTGAGCCAGGTTATCTACTGTAATCTGTGAGCCAGGTTATCTACTGTAATCTGTGAGCCAGGTTAGCTACTGTAATCTGTGAGCCATGTTAGCTACTGTAATCTGTGTCCCAGGTTATCTACTGTAATCTGTGAGCCAGATTATCTACGCTAATCTGTGAGCCAGGTTAGCTACTGTAATCTGTGAGCCAGGTTAGCTACTGTAATCTGTGAGCCAGGTAATAAACTGCTACCTGTGAGCTAGCTATAAAATGTTACCTGTGTGGCACAGTCGTGCCTATACATCCCCCAAGAAATAGATGTGCCGAAGTCGACCAAGTTAATGAATATAGTTCGTATCTCTCTTCAATCGTACTCAAGAACAAGGCCAGTGATGTAACAATTACACTAGAGCTGTTTATTTAAAATATTCCAGTCATAGAGGCTTCATAAATTCAATAGTATATTAACACTGTATTATCTGGATACAGGCTATTCGTATGACTCTCTACGAGTTCCTTAACCACTGTTCTAGCTTAACTCCAAGTTTAACATATCCCTTCTAAACGAAGTAAATCACTAGTTTTCTCCTAACCTGTCCTATCAAGCGGTTCCGTGGCTAACTGTCTGTTCTAGCTAAACTCCAAGTTTAACATATACCTTCTAACGAAGTACAGCACTAGTTTTCTCCTAACCGGTTTCTTTAGCGGTCTAGCCCTCACTGTCTTCTCATGGCGGTTCCGGGGCTAAAACTGTCCTCTCAAGCGGTCCCGGGGCTAACTCTATTTCCCCGCTTTCCCGCCTTTCTGGCGTACCCTCTCCATCACTTCTCTGTCACCTGTCTTTGGTGGTCACGTCTGGATGAACGTATCTCACAGTTCACGGGCACTCGTCGAATGTTTCATCCCTCACTGTCAGATGTCATGGCGGTGTGTTCTGCATAGCTGGCTAGGCCATGGCTTTCTAATCACCTATTTCTGTCATTTCACACAGTGATGGATTAGTACGCTGTGTGGTGGTCTGAAATGTATGCTTGTTCATTTAACCCCTTTTCTGCCTATATTTCGTTACATTCGCCCTTCACACTTTTTAACAAAATTGTTTCCTATCTTCAATTTTATAAAAACTACTCTAATTATACCCGCTACCTAACTAAACCTTATGTGAACATCTAGCCACGTAATGAAAGCATACAACATAACATGTAACATCATAAAATTCATGCAGTATAATGGAAACGTGACATGCATACAATAACTAATAGTCAATAATTCTAAAGACATAAAAAAAATAACGATACAACTCCCTCGTTGTATTAGCATAACAAACTCGTATTCACTGGTATCCCAAATGAATGTGCGGAGTTGTCTGAAGTATAAAGGAATAGTATCTGTATTCCTCCTTTATAAACTCAAACCAGAAAACATTGTATACAAGAAATGACATGCCATGTATCCCCAGTTATCAATAAAATAAAACTCGAAAATGTCATCTCCCCAAGAAAGGATGAAAACAGAATCTCTGAGAAAGTCAACATAGATTGAATAATAAGGTATAACCTTTACAGAGTATAAATAATTCTTATAACGTTAGGTATATTAATTGGAGAGAAATTTCTCGGAAACAATAGTAGCATTTCCTCCAGTCGAATGTACAATGCCACCACCTGTATTTACAGGCATTTATCTACTGTGATAATCCACAGGGTTTATTGTTGCTTCCCTAAGAGGTTGCTTCCTCTGTTTAATGCATATCGCATCTTCTGTAAAGAAATAGCCGGCCTATATTCAGTTACCAATCATGTCATGCTTTGGACTGGCTTATCGCCAAGTACGTTTCTAACTGTGTACCTCCGTAAAGTCTGGTTAAACTCAAATCAGTCATCATTCTGATAGAATGTATAAGAGAGGTTTTGTGGCCAGTAACTCTCTTAGCGAACATAAAACACGTAGGTATTGTAATCTTCACCCACAACCGAACGTGTGGATTTTCACTTGTCCGGGAGAGTACAACACGTAAAAAAAAACGTTCATAGTGCAAAACCAAATGTAAATATTAAATGGTAAGGACAAAACAACGATATATATTTAATCTTGTCGGACAAATGACATGTAGACACAACAACAGAATATGTGTAGCGAGCGCGGTACCTCTGTACACGGCAATATAACGTATGTTAATTGTAATTAATGAATCGAATTACTTGTTATACACCCTACAATCCCACATTTATTGAACCATTTTACGAACGATCCCATTTCAGTCAGTCATGGTGAAAGGGAGGGGGGGGGGGGGAACTGTAATTAATGTATGGTTTACTCAGGGTATAAATTCAGTCTACCCCCTGGTGATTCTGGCCTACTAACTGTAGTGGATGCTAACTGTTCTAGTTCTATTTCTTCTTCTGTCTTATTAGTGATCTGTGTTTTTTCTTTTGTTAAATGAAAAGTTAGCAATACATCGGAACATCTTATTAATTTTGCTATATTTGTTAGATGTGACTTTATTACGCCTCTTCTGGCTGCTTTTATTTCTGCGTAACTGTCCTTCTAATATATTAACTTTGCTTGTGTCTATGGTTCCCTGTAGACATTCTTGCTTCGTCAAATCGGTATGACCTGTATTAATAGTACTAATGCTGTCTCCCAGTCCTCGCTTTTTGTTATGAAAACTGTTGTCTGTGTTCTCTCTGTTTTCCGTATGTCTATTTTTACAGCGTACCTGTACCGCGTTCAATCGTGCCTCTCTCTTTCTTTGCGGAGGGTTGCAGTCATCCTGACTGGATGATGTATGCCCTCGGTTTCTCTTTCCTCTTCTGGGCTCGGCCATGTCCTGATCTGTTTCATAATCGCCTGCGTTTCCACAACTATCTGTGTCGCTTCTCATCTCCTCTGAGCTTTCTGACGCTTCAGTAGACTCTGCCTCTAGTAATAGTGCCCTACGTTCTCTCTCTGACATAATTTTCTGTCTTTCAAAAATCGGCACATTTCCTTCGCTAGATGAAGCGGAGCGTTCTTTACACGCTCGCCTAATTTCCTTTTCTTCTTCTATGTTAATGTTTCTTTTCGTTGCTGCTCTAGTATGCCTAAACGGGGCGTCTGTAAAATCGGCGATATCTGACTCATTAACTGTTGAACCCTCCTCACTCTCCGACCCGTTCGTCGGTGCCGGTTCTACCTCTGCAGTCGTTACGTGTCCCTCTGTGCATGTTCCCTTGTTTGCTATGTCACTTTCGTTTTCGGTACTCATTTGACTGTCAGTGTCAGTCTCTGGCGGACATGCTAAAGTAGTTCTCCTGTTTGTATCCTGTTCTACCTGTTGCGGACACTCTGTGTTTAGCGTGTCATTGTATTTAAGATGACCGACATGAACTCGGGCGGTGTGTCCTGTTAGTTGGTTTTTAATAAGGTAGGTTACCGGCCCTAGACGTTCTAACACGAAGTATCCGGCCGTCCACCGGTTGTCGAACTTAGATTCTCTGACGTGTTTTTTGAAAAATACGTTATCTCCGACATTAAACTCTGCTAACACAACATTTTTGTCTGCGTACTGTTTACGTTTGTCAAACGCCTTTTTAACATTCCTCCGTACTTTCACGTGAGCCTTATGCATTTCCTGTAATACTATCTCATGAAAATCTTCACCCATGTACTTTCTTCGGGGTTTAAGCAAGTTATCAAGTGGTAGTAATGGCTGTCGACCGTGCAGTAAAAAATATGGTGAATGTTTAGTGCTCTCATTTATATTTGTTCGTATGGCTCCTAACGCTTGATTTAAATAAAGATCCCAGTCTCTCTTGTTGTCATCTACGTGTTTTGCAATAATATCATAAATGGTGCGATGTTGGCGTTCATTCTTGCCATTACTATTTGGGTGGTAGATTGAAGTTTTAATATGTTTAATATTCATCTCCTTCATTACTCTCTCAAATTTGTGAGAAGCAAATTCACCGCCATTGTCTGAGATTAGCACTTGACAAGTACCAAATCGCGACACGAATTCCTGAAGAAAGAGTCTTATTACGGTATCTGTTGTCTTATCCGGTATTGGGTACGCCTCTGGCCAGGAACTATAGTAGTCGACAATGTGTAGAATATACCTATTACCAGATAAGGTTCTAGGGTGTGGTCCTGAAATATCTAAGCTAATCTTTTGCATGGGGAACAGGGACTGGTCTGGTTCCTGCATGGGACATTTAATGGCCTTCATATTCCTTAGTTTGCAAGTTTCACAATTACTCACATGTTCGTATACCCTGCGGTATAGATCTGGAAAATAATATTTCGTTCTAATAGCATCGTAAGTGCGATCTATTCCCAAGTGGCCATTGTCATTATGATACTGGTTCAGTACTCTCAAGTATAGATGCCTGGGGATATATTTCCTTAAAATCGGGTCATCTTCCTTATTTGTTATATAATATAACTGTCCATCCTCTGGTAGGATCAGACAGTTTTTATTTTTCTTATACGGTTTGTTTGTTTTTAATGCCTCAATTATACTTCTTATATCTTCGTCTTTTTCCTGTTCAATTTTCATGTCAAAACCCATAAGGTCACTCACTGTCTCCTCATGGATTTCTCCTGTTTCGTCCTGTTCGTCTCTAATACCTAGTCCCTCTAATCTGTTTGTATTGATAGCATGTATTTCCCACGTGTGGTCGTTTATGTCTGGATCTCCAACATCCGTCTCATCTGGACTGTCCTTGTAGGGAACTCTTGATAATAAATCAGCTATAGTATTCGTTGTTCCTGGAATGTACTCAATCCTAGCGTTATACGCTTGTATATTGAGCGCCCACGTTTGTATTTTCCTGTTTTGTATGGGAGACTCTAGCAAACCTTTAAGTGGCATGTGATCAGTTTTGATCACAAAACGGGCATTGTGTAAGTAATAGTTAAGCTTTTCCAGGGCATAGTGGATAGCGAACGCCTCTTTTACAATAACGGGCCATTTCCTCTGGCTTTTGCTAAGCTTATGGGATAGAAAATAAATAGGTTTTTCATTCTTTATTCCTGGTATAATCTCAGCCTCCCCTTCACTCATCGGTATTGTTAGGCAGGCCCCTATAGCAATGTCCGAGGCGTCTGTATACAAGACCATCTCCTTATCTGTGTCTGGGTGAGCTAGAAGGGGTATTACTTTTAAGCTTTCTTTAAGAAAGTCAAAGGCGGCCTGGCATTCATCTGTCCACCTAAATCTAGCGTATTTTTGGGTGAGGTTAATCATCGGTTCCGCTATCTGTGAGAAATTTGGTATGAATCGTCTGTAGTATCCGCACATTCCAATAAATCCTCGTACTTCCTTTACGTTTGTGGGGTGTGGTAACTCCTGTATTGCTTTCACTTTTTCTTGATCGGGTTGTATCCCTTGTCTATTAATTACGAAGCCAAGATACTTGGTCTCGGTCTTGAGAAAGTTGCATTTGTTGAGCTTTAGTTTGACGTCGTGTTCCCTAAGCCTGTCAAACACCCGTTCAACATGTTCTAAGTGGTCTTCGACGGATCCTGATGAAAATACTAATATGTCGTCGACGTATGCTAATGCGAATTTTTGTAGACCGTTAAGTACCTGATCTACGAGCCGCATGTACACTGGAGGGCTATTGCGTAGACCAAATGGCATTCGGAGCCAGCGGAAACTTCCCAGATGAGTGCTAAAAGTGCTCTTGTCGCTGGCATCCTCGGACATAGGAATGCTCCAAAAACCCGACCTCGCGTCTAGGGTCGTAAAATATGTCGACTTGTTCAGCAGCCCTAAAATATCATCCACGACTGGCATGGGGTACGAAATATTCTTAGTTATTTTATTTAGTGCTCGGTAGTCGCAGCAGAATCTGTGTGTGCCGTCCTTTTTCTTTACTATAACTATTGGCGAGGACCATGAGGACAACGATCGTTCAATAATGCCAGCCTGCAGCATTTCATGTATAGCTTTTTCCACTATTTCTCTATCTTTGAGCGGTGTTCTATACGGTCTTAAACAAATGGGTTTATGCTCCCCTGTATCCAGTTCCATCTGCACAGATTGTGTCCTCCCTAACTCTATATCTGTCAGTGCAAAGACGTCTTCGTTTTTAACTATAAACGATTCCAAAATATTTCTGTGTTGGGGTTCTGCCTGTAACTGTTTTAGCACTTCCGCTGTTCTGACCGGATTTGACCTCTTACCTTCATAAACATCTTCTCCCCTACTCATATTTCTGGGATCTGTTATCACAGCTATACCGCCGTTCCTGAGATCTGATATTCCGATTATTTTCTAATTTTTGTAACCGCGCAGCTCTGTTAAAATTAATATTTTGCCCACCTCCATTTCGTACACATGACCTCAGTTGACTCTGATTGTCATGGTATGAATTCGGTCTCTGTGGTCTGAAACTCTGCTTATCTATATTGTAGTGTGATCTCTCGTTATCATATCTTCGCCTACCGGAGAAACCGGTAAATCGATTAGCATCGACTTTATGTGTAGTAACAGTTGCTATTTTATAGCTATTCCTTCCTCTCGGTGCCTCTCCCGTTGAACTATTTACCTCTAGAATATCTCTATCTACGTTAGCTACAATATTTCCTTTCTTCAATTTTACGGTTTTCCCTGTCGCGTTTGTGATAAGGACCGGAAAACAAAGTCTTTTACCTAACGTTACAATGCCATCTGTAGTTGATAAGCACGGTTCGTTTAACAGTGCTTCCTGAAGCGCTGTTGTTCGAATAGTTTGACCTGGCAGGAAATATGGGTTTCTTTTTAAACCCGACATCACTACGTTGATTGAATTAGGTTTTAGGATGACTGTTTGTTTAGCACGTACCACCGAAGCAACGTGAATGTCATCTCTAAGATCTACGTACCTATCTCTAATTCTAAGCTTTTTAAGGTCAAAATATAGCCTTATGCCATGTTTAACTAATATGTCCCGTCCTATAATTAAATGACGGTTCATTGTTTTTACTATGATAAAAGGATGTGTCAGATGTATTCCACCGATGGAAAACGGAATCATGGCTTTACCTAAAACTGATAGGCTGGCTCCGGTGACAGACTGTAAGTTCTCTTTTGTGTGATGTAACTCTATACTACCTCTAATCCTCTTAAATACCGAGTAATTTAGAAGTGACAAATCTGCTCCTGAATCCACCAGACTATTAAACTTATTATTGTTGATTTCTATTAAACAGCAACACGGGCTGCCTGATGCATTAATCTGTCTATGGTTTGTAACTCTCTTCTGCCTATTTATTTCGTTATCTCTCTTGTGTCTTACTGAACTTTTAGAGGCTATGTCTCGTCCGTCGCTCAGCTGTGCCCCGGCCAGCGAGCGGATTGCGCGTTTCCCGAATAATGGTTTCTCCAGCCGCCGTTATTTTGTGTGTTAAGTCCCTGACTTCTGCGACTGACCTGCCACGACCTTTCACCTCTGAAATCTGTGTTAACGAGCGGTCGGTTTATCGGCTGTGTTGTGGGTCGGTTACCTGCCGGGCAAAATCGGACTTTATGGGGACCTGAACAGTTATAACACGTTAAAGTGTGTTGCACTGCCTGTATGTTAGAGTGTCTGTGTCTCTCATTTGTGTGTCTTTCTCTGTGTGGTCTAAAATGTGATATGTCCATGGGTTCCGTCAACCTAATATCTTCTTCTTCTTCTGTTCTTCGTCCAGTTTGAAGGAACACTTTTCGTCTTAAACTCTCTTCTTTAAGAGTTATGGCTACTGCCTGTTCTAGAGTTGTTGGCCCAGAACGCAATAAACGAAGTTTTTGTGAACAGTCCCTTAAACTGTCACTGAAGACTGAAACTAAAATAAGCTGAGTTTGTTGTGATTGTATCTCTTCTTTAAGAAATGCATCTTGCGCGAGACTCTGTATTCTCTGCGAATAATTCTGTACGCTCTCATCTTTGCCCTGTTTGATCTGTCGTAAGAGGGAAAAGGCCATCTGTCTGTCTGTGACATCGCTGAAATTTTGTGCTAAGTCTCTTTTCAGTTCTTCCCATGTTTCTTCTTCATTCTGCTCTAATCTTCTTCTTATGTGTTCTGAAACCGGGGAAGAACTCATCTGGTATGCTAAACGTTTGATGTCGAAACTTGTCGCACCTGAAAGGAAAGCATACTTTTCTATCTCGTTTACCCACTTTTTAAACTTTTTTGTGTCTCCCCTGAAAGGTTCAATAACCCCTGTTATTCCCTGTCTCCGAACGCTACAATCTAATCTGGAGACAGCCTTGCTGACTCTCCTAAAACTCTGCTGAACTGGGCTTCTACTGTTCCCTGTTCTGCCATTTTTAAAAAATCTGGGAAATTAATCTAATGCAAGTAAATTAAAATTGAAAAAACAGAAAATGTCAAATTACCTTGTTGAGTGCGGTCTGAAAAAAAAATTCTCTTTTCACAACACACTGTAATTAAAAATCGGCACTGTCCTGGAATTATTTTCTAAGTTAATAGGAAAGGTAGGGAAAGATAAGAAAAGGTTTTCCCTACACCACTGTAAATTGAAAATCACAATATATTTAAACTAATTAATGTTAATGTTCAAGGTTCTTTAAAATCGCGCTTATTTTGCAGTTCCTATTTGTAAAATCGGACAGCTCACAGTTCTTGACTTTCCTATAATCTTCCGAGTGTGTAAAGTTAGGAAAAGTTTATATTATGGCTCCAGACTAGAACGGGCGCGTCCCCCTGATTCTAGTGTAGACGGTTTGCTCCGGGCTAGAACGGGCGTGTCCCCCTGATTCTAGTGTAGACGGTTTGCTCCAGGCTAGAACGGGCGTGTCCCCCTGATTCTAGTGTAGACGGTTGGCTCCAGGCTAGAACGGGCGTGTCCCCCTGATTCTAGTGTAGACGGTTGGCTCCAAAAGGTGGTGCAGGCTGTTGGTCTGGTTTACGTCTCTCCAATCTGATGACGGGTTTATCGACTTTTTTTTTTTTACTCAGCAGGTACAATCATAAACTTGCTTTTAGTTCACGTTTTTTTATAGCAGTTGCTTATTTGTTATTTTGTAACAGCAGTCTTGTTTTTTAAAGATGTCGAGTACACAAGACTGATCGTTGGTCACGGCTCCAAATATCCTCATCACTTGTGGCACAGTCGTGCCTATACATCCCCCAAGAAATAGATGTGCCTAAGTCGGCCAAGTGAATGAATATAGTTCGTATCTCTCTTCAATCGTACTCAAGAACAAGGCCAGTGATGTAACAATTACACAAGAGCTGTTTATTTACAATATTCCAGTCATAGAGGCTTCATAAATTCAATAGTATATGAACACTGTATTATCTGGATACAGGCTATTCGTATGACTCTCTACGAGTTCCTTAACCACTGTTCTAGCTAAACTCCAAGTTTAACATATACCTTCTAAACGAAGTAAATCACTAGTTTTCTCCTAACCTGTCCTATCAAGCGGTTCCGTGGCTAACTGTCTGTTCTAGCTAAACTTCAAGTTTAACATATACCTTCTAACGAAGTACAGCACTAGTTTTCTCCTAACCGGTTTCTCTAGCGGTCTAGCCCTCACTGTCTTCTCATGGCGGTTCCGGGGCTAAAACTCAACTAACTCTATTTCTCAAGCGGTCCCCATCACTTCTCTGTCACCTGCTGGTGGTCACTAACTTCTCACAGCGGTTCCCTGGCTCGAATGTGACTTTATTCCCCGCTTTCCCGCTCCTCCTGGCGTACCTTTCTAATCCATCACTTCTCTGTCACCTGTCTTTGGTGGTCACGTCTGGATGACGTATCTCATCAGCTGGTCACAGTTCACGGGCACTCGTCGAATGTTTCATCCCTCACTGTCAGATGTCATGGCGGTGTGTTCTGCATAGCTGGCTAGCTACCATGGCTTTCTAATCACCTGTGAGCCTGCTCTGAACTACCTGTGAGCCAGGCTATAAACGTCCACCTGTGAGCCAGTCTATAAACTGCTACATGTGAGCCAGGCTATAAACTGCTACCTGTGAGCCAAGCTCTAAACTTCTACCTGTGAGACAGGCTATAAACCTCTACCTGTAAGCCAGGCTATAAACTGCTACCTGTGAGCCAGGCTATAAACAGCTACCTGTGAGCCAGGCTATAAACTGTTACCTGTGAGCCAGGCTATAAACCTCTACCTGTGAACCAGGCTATAAACTGTTACCTGTGAGCCAGGCTATAAACTGCTACCTATGAGCCATGCTATAAACCTCTACCTGTGAGCCAGGCTATAAACTGCTACCTGTGAGCCATGCTATAAACCTCTACCTGTGAGCCAGGCTATAAACCTCTACCTGTGAGCCAGGCTATAAACTGCTACCTGTGAGCCAGGCTATAAACTGCTACCTGTGAGCCAGGCTATAAACTGCTATCTGTGAGCCAGGCTATAAACCTCTACCAGTGAGCCAGGCTATAAACCTCTACCTGCGAGCCAGGCTATAAACCTCTACCTGTGAGCCAGGCTGTCAACCTCTACCTGTGAGCCAGGTATAAACCTCTACCTGTGAGCCAGGCTATAAACTGCTACCTGTGAGCCAGGCTATAAACTGTTACCTGTGAGCCAGGCTATAAACTGCTACTCGTGAGCCAGGCTATAAATAGCTACCTGTGAGCCAGGCTATAAACAGCTACCTGTGAGCCAGGCTATAAACTGCTACCTGTGAGCCAGGCTATAAACATCTACCTGTGAGCCAGGCTATAAACTGCTACCTGTGAGCCAGGCTATAAACCTCTGGTCAGCTGATCACCAGCACAGGTCCTGTTCACCTCCCCCGCCTGTTATGCGCATCAGTTTATTTGCCACAAGTGGGCTTGCAATCCTGTTTGGGTGAGTACACATTCCCCACACATACATAGATAAAGATACACACACGCACACACAGACACACTCACAGGAACACACGCAGACACTCAGACACACACAAACACACACACACAATCATGTATTCGCGCAAACACTTACACACACAGATACACACACATACATAGATACACACGCCCAGAGACACTAGCACAAACACACGCAGACACACATATACTCACTAACAAACACACACAAACATACACATGGACAAACACGCAGATACACACTCGCAGACATAGAGGTAAACATGCACACGTAGACACAGACACATGCAGACACACACACATATAGACATCTACACAAGACATACACACAGAGACGTATACACGCAGACTGTCTCTTTAGCCGCCTGAATATCGCCATAGCTATA